CAACAGCAAGAGGTAGCAATACTGCTTGCTGTTGAGTAACGTCCTCTTCCAGCAAAACTGGAAAACTAGAGATAAATCGGAATCGCTACCTATTTAGATGCCTGCTGAACTACGGGTGATGTTAAGTCAGTTACTTATTTCTGTATTTTTAATCTCCAGTGAGGTTGTTTGCAAAGTGATATTATTTACCCTAAGAAAAACATATATATGAAGTTAGCCAGTGTGTTCTCAGCATCACTCTACACCCCCTAGCCCAAAGCAAAACACCATCACCAATCCTCGGGAGACACTTGCAGGTATTGTCTGCTCTGGTCTATGATACAGTGCTGTGGGTTAAAATCCTGCTGTAGGTTTCCCTGCTGCCCTCCCTTCTTGCTGCTAGCTCCCCCTGGGCAACTCTGCTTTGTTTAGGTGGCCATGCTTTGCAAATGTGAAGTTGATTTTCTTGGCCTCCAGCTGGGGCTTAATGGAGATTATTGTCCTGAAGGAACAAATAAAAGCTTGTCTCTGCCTCTGGGATTTTCCAGCCAATAAGTTGTCAATGTCTAGAGGTAATGACTTGTGATAGTGATGCAATGGGCTAGGTGCACCCAAGCTTGACACGTTGAACCAGTGCCTCAGGGGGTTACGCTTCCAGGTCTGTTACCCTCTCTTCTGCTTACTAACAAGGTTAGACGGAGAAGTGTATTGTTAGGAAATCTGACTTCTCTTTAAAAATGATGTGTGAGAGGACTAATCATTTGTCAGCTCCTGTCTGGGTGACTGTAGTGTGACTGATTTAGCAGAATAACTCCCTGCAAAAAGGTTTGAAATGTCTTCTGAGACTCTATATGTACTTTCTTCTTGAAATCACATGTTTAATTTGAAATCACAGAAGTAGCATTGGTTTTCTGCAGCAGGTATACAAGCCACCATTAGGCAAGATTTGTGGCAGAAGGGAAATGTGTGGTGGCCTTCTTAATTCATTTAGATCAAACTGTTGCATCTAGAGTGGCAAAGAATGCAAGTAAACCCTTTTCAGTGGACCAGATGAGGTAAGTATAGACTTCAGCTTGCAGCAGTGTGAGGAGGCTCCAATCTCATCTGCAGGTGAGCAAACTATTCCTTGTGTAAGGAAGGAGGAGGAAAACACTCTTGCATCTCTTAACTGACTTGGAACTTGATTGGGGGTCTTATTGTACTTCATCATGGTTCTGGTACCCTTGTAACACCTTGGTTTGTTGAGCCCTGCCATAATATCAGATTGTGTTTTGCAATGATTCACTTGATCATTGATTTTGGAGTTAAACAAAAATATTGTTTTCAGCTTCTGCAATTAGTTGAATTAACGGATGATCGTCAACTGATCTGTTGATGCCAAGGAAACCATCAAAGCTTCCTGCTGATGTTAAGCAGAGAAACTTCCCAGACAGCTCTATTAAAATGTGCAAGAATGAATGCTGGACACCACTGCTGTCAGAATGCAGGCCAAAATTGTCTGTGCCTTCTCAGTGTTGCATTGTACTGCCTCAACTAACTGCTTGTACTCTGTGCACTTTCAACCTCAGGTGTTTGATGCTGGTGACTACTTTGGGATAATGCAAGTAGAAGAGGTAGATGAGGAAGAGGAAGGTGATGAAGCAATGGAAGATGAATTGAAAAAGAAACCAAATCCTGGAAATGAACCTTGTTTCAAAGTTATAGTAACAAATGAGAATGGGATTCAAGCCTCCAATCCTGATAGGTGAGTAGTGATTTCTGAACTGGTCCTGTGTCCTTGAGTGGTCTTAAACCTTACAGTGATGAGGGCAGTTTATAATAAAATTTGCTTGGTCTTATAAAACAAAACAAAGGAGCATTTTTGAATATGTTGTTTTTTGTCTGTCTTTCTTACCGTAAGACACAGCTGCTTGTTTCAGGAAAGATAAATAATCTCTGTGCTATGAAGCATATCTTGTAAAGAGCCCTAGGAGTGCAGGCATTTTATATTGCTTCTCCTTAAATCACGGAGGAAGATGCTTATAAATCAGTTCTGTGAAACTGAGAGAAAGAAAAAAGGAGAGGTAACTTTGAATCTGCAGATCTGTGTATTTTATTTCTACAGATTTCATTTCAATGTGTTTGCTGTTTGCCATTGAAAAAATACTGAAGTAATAATTGTCCACAAAGCTCAGGCTCAGGGGATACTGGGCTGCTGTAAGTGATGATACATGGACTGCTGAATTTCCTTCAGTTGGCTATGATATAATTCAAGTGTCATCATACGATTGCATGCTAGGCACGTGTATGTAGTCAAATACATCTCAAGTTCTGTTGGCTTTCTTTGGAATCAGCTTATCTGTCATGAATATGAGATTGGCATGATGTGGTGAATTGGAAAAAGTTGCGTAAGAAATTAATACAAATACAAAGGTATGTGTTGTAACTTATCCATTTAATATCAAACATAAATACATATCAGTGAGGTGAAGTCTGAACTCCAGTGGACCTCTAAATGTCGTTCTGTTCAGTTGTATTGATCTTATTTTGCCAGACCTTTCATATTTTTTTAGATCTTAGACTTTGTTTTTTTGTATTTTTGTATGTGTATTTGCATAAACTTTGTCTTGATGAGTAAAAGCAACATAGAGTGTGGGTATCTGCCTTTATGTGCTTGCTCTAACCTTAGTTATTGCCTTTCTAAATCTGAGAACACAAATTGTAAAATTCAAAGCAACTCTTAGAAAGTTTTGGGCTTACTTGCAGCATTCAGATGTGTGGTTATAGAAGCTGAATACCAACATGCTTGTTTGCTGACTGAGTTTTGAACTACATTTTTACCTTAGCATTCTCTAGAATCTTTAGGTTTAAAATTAAAGTAAGTTTATGCTGTGTGTGGAATATGATACGCAAGAATTGTTCAGGGATACTTGACATACATGACAGCTGAAATATTTTTAACTTACTGAAAAGTGAGAAGGGGAAATTAATAAGTAGAACTTACAGTTTTCTTTGACGTGATTCAGTAAAAGGATATGGCCAAAGTGTGAAGAATCCTTCTGTTTAAGTAAGTAGGCTTTTACTGTAGAAATCATGCAGCCAACACAAGGGTTAAACTTCTCAAGGAGAAATATGCCAGTTGGCTAGGATTTTGTTTTAGACTGGTAGTTCTTTTAAACAGTGTGTTTTACTTCTAGGGAAGAAAAGAAAAACAGAGCCAGAGAGAAAACAATCAAAAACTTTAAAATTTTTGAACTTCTAATGATCATGCCTTTCCCCACCTAGTTCTGTACAAAACAGTATGTAGGTTTTTCTTCTTCAGGGCCAGGTTGGATGGGGCCCTGGGCGGCCTTATCTGGTGTGTGGTAGCCCTGCCCGCATTGGGGGTTGGAACTGAGCAGGCTTGAAGGTCCCTTTCAACCCAAGCTGTTCTATGAAAATCAGGTTGGTGTGGTGAAAGAAGGAAGAAAGTCCTGTGTTCCCGGATCCTAAGGAGAGCTGGGCTAACAAACTGAGTGCACTGTTCTGTTTGTGCCTCATTATCATAGAATGATTGACTATTACACAATAAACTTTCTAGAACAAAGAGAGTGCTATCTCACTGCTGGGAAGTTGTTCCTAACATGTAATGGAACATGTGTACTCAGGGAGTTAGTTTGCCACTAAGAGAGTATTTAGTTACCAAACTTTCTGCAAGAACATGTACTTGGAGAAGTATTTGGCCCTTGTATGGAGATATCTATATACACACCATTGTAATGCTACCAAAATTCTCTTGAAGCATTTTCCTCATCGACCATGCCTGGACATACCGTATTGAACACGCCCGCCAGCAGCTGCTTCACGTGCCTGGCTTACTTCACAGAATGGCAAATCTCATGGGCATCGACTTTCACGGAGAAATCCCAGATGAGGGCAGTGTTGAGCAAGTGTTGCAGGAAATGTGGAAATACAATCAGACCTACCAGCTTTCTCAAGGGGTGAGTCTCTGAAGCTTGACTGGGCTGCTAAAAAGTTCTGGGCAGTCCCGAGTGAAGTCATTCCAGTACGTGGCTAGAAACAAATATACTTTTTCAACACAAAAATGTTTTTTTATGGGCATTGTACAATAAACTTCTATTTGGAGCAGATGCTACATAAGGCTATAATGCATGGTGACTTGCTCCCTCATTTCAGGTAAGAACTTTGAGGGTTGTTTTTTTTCTTGTTTTTCCATGCAGAGAAGAGCCTTCTGCAAAGGAAGGGCAGTAGAAAGGGGAGATCTGCTTATGTGTCAAATTTGTTTTTTTCTATTCATATTTACTTATAGTGAAGGAAAGACTCCCTCATGAATCAAATGCCTCCATAAGCATGTCTCTCAGCAGTTATGCTCACAGCTTTCCTCATCTATAGGGGTGTTTCACCTCTTGAGGATATACTTATGCTGTCAGATGACTTAGCTTTCTGGTTTCGATTTGGCATCTGATTGCCAATATAGTATAAATGTTAGCTCAACCTCAAGTGAGAACCAGCTAGTTTCAAGATGGTGTGCTTCCAGATGTAGCTTATTCCAGATCCTAGTTTTAGATAATGTGGATAAGACCACACCAAGTTTGGTCATTCAGCACGGTTCTAGCCTTCAGATGCACTCAAATGCATACACGCTACTTCTGAGGGAATGCAGCATGTTAAAAATGCTTTTGTGGCTGTCGCTTCTATGCTATGGTATTTTGTTTTGAAGATGAAAATTAATTCTTGGTGCCAAGCTCTGTGCAGAAATGGAACAGGCCTGTCTGTTTTACCAGTAGTTCGCTCTGAGTGGTGCAGTCATGACCAGCCTGCACCCTTAGCTCAAAGGGTGGAGGTAACTCCCTGGGGATGGCACCTCACCAGTGCATGTATCAGCTTGGCTCACAGTAGTGTCAGGCTTGAAGAAGTCTCTTAGATAGGGACTCACTGTGATTTACTTATTTTGCCTTTAAATAAGAGGCAGGCTTGAGCAGTACATCTCCATCTTTTTATGTTACGTTTTGGTTTCCCGTCTTTTTTTCATGAGTGACTCATGAATCATGTGAAATTATGTGCTCCCACTTGAAAAATGCTTTCCTGCGAGACAATTAATTCAACCTATAGTTGAACTTGGCTTCAGTTTCCCTTTCTGACACTGAACTGCTTTGAATAGTTTAAGTTCAATTCCTGTGTCTCCCTTTCTGCATCTATAGATGTGTGAGGAAACAGCCTTCTGTTGTGTTTACACCCGAGCTGGCTTCAGGGGAAGTGGATTTGGTAAGCGATAGCTCTATAATAAGAGGAAGGATGGGACTTTGCAATTACAAGAACAGGCTTGCCAGTTTTCACAGTCTTGGATGCATGGAGAACATTGTAAGGGGGTACTGCCAGAACCTTCTGTCTTGTAGTTCTTTTCAAGAAATTGATACATGCAGTATTTCTCACTCTCTAATTGTGCAGACTGCGGAGGAGAAAGTTCCTGTCTGGTATATTATGGATGAGTTTGGATCACGCATTCAACATTCAGATCAGCCTAGCTTTGCAACAGCACCCCTGTTTTACATGCCTCAACAAATTGCTTACACTGTTCTCTGGCCCCTGAGAGACCTGGAAACTGGTGGTAAGTTGAGTCTCCATGTTTGTTTGTTATTGCTGCTGTTTTTAATGTTCACAACGGAAGATAGGCCATATTCTTACAAAGCATTGAGCACTATACAGCACAACAGGTATTTCAAAACTAAAAGGACTGCGTATTTGTAATGCTATCATAATTCAAAGTTCTCTCTGATATTTTTAGCACCATAATTTGTGAGGTAGAGGCTCAAAACACTGACAGAGAACTTATGTCTTGCATCACTGTTGTAGTGAAACTAGTGATTCAGGTACCTGAGAGTTTAAGAAATCCTCCTTAAGGAGCTGTTTCTGACTGAGACAGTCAAGTGCTCAAAGTTGGGAATACTAGATTTGGATTAACTTTGCACTTGCACCCTTGGTTGGATGCCTTGTTCTGCTCCCATCATGTAGAGCGGGGTAATAGTGTTCAGCTGCGTAATTAAACTGTCACAAGTCAGCTGGTTTTGGCCTAATTTTTGCATTGCAAGTAATACCCTTTTTAATGTAGTTCTTTAATTATATCTAATTTTGCGTTTTGGTTCTGACAGTTTAGCATTATAAACTGTCCAACCTTCATTTGTATGATGAGGCATGAGAGGGATTTCAGAGCGTAGAATTAAAGACTTCCTGAAAGGCTCTACTTGTTCTACTGCAGATGAAGTGACCCGTGATTATGCTTATGGGGAAACTGATCGCTTGATCAGGAAGTGTGTTTTGTTACCATGGCTGCCTAATGAGGTATTGGATGTCAACTGCTTTACCCCAGAGCCATCAGATGAGCATTACCAGGTAGGGTGTAACAGATGTCATATTTTATCCTTTCAGAGACGGTGTCTAAACAGCTAATCAAGAGTTCTGGTTCTGCTTTTTGTCAGGCTTAAAGATTGATTCAGAGCATAGGTACTAACTTAAAAAAAAAAAAAAAAAAACATAATGAAATGAGAAATATCTTGCATGTGATATAACTTACAGAATTGAAGCAACAGAAATTGTCTATAATTATAATAATACTGCAATATTGCTTAATATTTCTTCATGTAAATACAATGCAAGGTCTTTCATATAATGTACTTATCTTCCAGTTCAGTGTTTGAGACATTGTCTAACCCACTGGATCTATTACCCACTAGATCTATTAGTGTAGTACTTCTGGTCTGTCTTGAATTGCAGAAGGATTCATCTTAGTATACTGGGTTAATTACACTTTTCGGTCTGATTACTCATTTATAATGTGGTTTAGAATTGCTAAATTGTAGTGGAGACAGTGTCCTTAATTTGATACCACTGTTATGAATCTTAGAGTCTCAGAATGGTTTGGGTTGGAAGGGACCTTAAAACCCATTCAGTTCCAACGTTGGGCAGTGTTACCACCCACCAGATCCAGGGCCCCATTCCAACTGCCCTGTGCCAGTGCCTCACCACCCTCTGAGTAAAGAACTTCCTCCTAATATCCAGACCTAAATCTCCCCTCTTTAAGTTTAAAACCATTCCCCTTTATTCTATCAATATCAGACCATGTAAAAAGTCAGTCCACCTCCTGTTTATAAACTCTCTTTATGTACTGGAAGGCTGCAGTGATGTCTTCCCAGGGCCTTCTCAGACTTTCTTTGTAGGAGAGGTGCTCCACCCCTCTGAGCATTATGAAGGACTCACATTTTACCTATGTTTATTCACTTTTCTCATAATTTTGCTTTAATAAAAAATATAAAAAGTTTTGTTACCTATATACATTAACTATAGTATTTATCTTATATGTGGGCCAGGACAATTCCTGTTCATTCAGTGTGGCCCAGGCAAGTCAAAAAGTTGGACCCCCATGCTCTGTACCAACAGCTTTTGATGGAGGATTGTCAGAAAATTCCAAATTCAGCTTATTATAAACTAGACAAAAATTAAGTTGATTTTGTTGAATAAATGCGTATGACCCAAATAGGCTGTTCTGGAACCAATGTCATATTGGTTGGGATTTTGCGTTGTTGAAGAGAGGTAGGCATAATTTCTATTTGCAGATGAGAAACAATGCTCATATAGTTCTGATCTTACAGTTCTCTTGGCAAATGTGCCTGGATCTCAGATAAGGCAGTCTATTGCTTGGTTCAAGTTGAAGAACTGTGTGTGACAAATGGGCAAATACTACACTCCTTTCCCACCTTGTCTTGAAAACAGCTTGTTTTCCTCTGGAATATTTAGCTGTAGATGATTGAAGATATAGACTGGTGACAGATCAAAGAAAAACTTTGTATGTAGCATGGCCTTAAACTCAAGAAGGGAAATACCTATAAAGAGATGTATGTTGCTGACACTTCTGGTTGCCCTAGCTTAGCATATACAGAGCTGTGTGCACAAAAAGATCTGACTGTGTCAGATTTGTTCACACAGTAAGTCTGTGAGCCAGCAGTTTTTCAGGGTAGTGTAAATGTTTGCTATCTTTACAGCTTTTGCAGCAGGGAATGCTTTACTACTACGTACAAATAATTTGTTGTTCACTTGGCTGAGTTGTTGGTTTTGCTGTAGCTAAGGGTACTACTTTTGAGGTTCTAATTTTCCTTTAAATAGAAGCAAAGACTCACGGAATAGTTTGGGTTGGAAGGGCCCTTTTAAAGATCATCTGGTTCCAATAAATCTTAAAGATTTCAGCCCTGCTTAGAAAAGCAGAGTTGTTATGCTAATGCTGCAGATTAAATCTCACCTGGTTTTTGTTCTGCTACTTCACTGTATTCTTTAGCACAGACCACAAAGTCTGTGACTTAAATGGTAGCATGGGTAGTGACTTGGGCACTGATTGCAGAAAGCAGACTCAGAGGAGACAGTTCCTAATAACGACACTTCTAGTGAAATGTCTGACTTTAAAGAAGCGATCTCTTGGGAGAGTCAAGTAGTTGCAGTTCTGCAGCAGGTCCCTGAATTTGAGCTGCAGAATAGATGCGAATGAATCTTCTGGTACCATCCTGAGAATTGTAGCTATCTAATCAGGAATTATTTTGTATTTGTGTTGCCCAGCCTGCTTTAGAAGGCGATGTCTCTGGTTTGGTTTTGCTTACACTTTCCAGTTAGAGGTGACTGTACTTCCTGTAACACCCTTGAAGATGAGGGGTATGTCTGGCTGGCAGATGTTCTGCCCTTTGTTCCTTCTTTATCAGTGGCCTCTTAATTCTTAATTCTAACCCCCTTCCTCCTCTGCTCTTGTACTCTTTTTTTTTTTTTTTTTTTTTTTTTTTTTTTTTTTACTTCTTGCTGGGCAGTGTATGACACAACGTAAGTTTCTCAAAATGTGACTGCAGTTCACTTGAACCAGGCAGTGCAGTGGTCAGGCACACAAACTGTCACTTTTGCTGTGGGTACAAACACACCTCCACACCTGTATTTAAACACTTACGTGAAGAAAAGGAATTGCATTAAACTGTCTGTAAGGTTTGATGACTCAAACTTCAATAGACAGTGATAATGATAATAAAAAACTCGGATGAACATGTAATCATTGAATATCTTATCATTTTTTCTTCTAAAATCATGTTTTCCAATCACTTATCCTATAAACGTGACTGTGTGCACTTTAAAAGGCAGTTTGGTCCGTGCTGCTGTTCTTATTTGCTGATCATTGTGAAGTCTGACTCACGGCTGCCTGTTTACTGTGACTATTATTAACTTCTTTGTTTTGTTTGGCTTTTAGGCTATTTTAGCAGAAAACAAGGAGAAACTCCCCATAGCAATCAACCCATCAGTTTATGATAAAGACAAAGTTTTCAAGTATGTATCTGCAAACAAAATGCTTTCTTACTATGATTAAGTATGGTGCTTGCAGTGTGCTGGAGTTACGTGAGGATATCAAATGCTTCAAGACTTTTTACAGCATTATAAGGCTGTTTTACTTTCAGGTCACCACTTTGAATCCCATTTCCCTCAGCAAGGACTAAAAATTGCTCCAAAACAGTGGATATTTGTCCTGTCTTGAGATGAACTTAGTGCAACCTGTACTGGGCCTTTTGTCAGATTTGGTGCTGTACTTCCTTCAGCTGTGCAGGTGTTGAAGAAACCACATTTTGCAGAAAGAAATACTGGAAGGGCTGGATGAGGATATTAACTTCACTAAGTTTTAGCAGTAGGGAAAGAAGTAGAACTTCTTTTGATAAGAATGCCAGTGCTGTGAATTAATTTCTTCTAGTCTTACTCTCCAGGGTAGATAGTACAATGAAAGTAATATGTCACATACAGAGCTATGCAGAATATTTGTGGCAATAAACAAAGCATAACAGACACACTTCAGATGTTGGGGATTTTTGAAAACAGTGTTTCCCCCTATGGACTGTTTCAAAATTCCATTATTTCAGAGAATTCTCTCTTGGGATTGTATCTTCTAATTGGTTGGTTGCAGAAGAGGAAAGAAAAGTTAACTGATGAGAGCAGGTCAGGAGAGGAGGAAGAGTATTGTGACACCTCAAGAAAAAAAGAAAAAATAGCAGTTGCTTAATCTGTTAAAATGCTCACTTAGTGTGCTAAGTGCTTTTCTACGTCAGTCTGACTTTGAGTCTTCATGCTGAACTCTGTGCAGATTTCATATGGATTTGTTCCTTGTTGCTGACAGGTTGATGGTTAGGGCTCTTCCACCCATACAAGCCACTTACAAGCTCTCTCTCCCTCAAGGACTCTTTCATGTATAATACTGAATTCATGTCAGTGCTCTCCCGTCAGGGACTGTCACTGTTCTCAATTGCAAGTTTTGTTAAAGTTGTTGGAGCAAAACTGTCTTTGAGATGTTTTGTTTCAAAACTCTTCATTTTTAGTCTGTTCCACAATATTTCTTTTTTCTTTTTTTGTGGGTTAAAAATGTAACACTTGTAGGGAGCCAACATTTAAAAAAACAAAACACTATTTTCTATTCAAGCAACAGCTGATCATTTTCAGAAATCAAATTGACATTTTTCTTCGTATCCCTTTTTCTTCTAGGGTGTTCACAGACATCCAGCAGGTCCTCAACAGCCTGACACATCCCCGTTTTGTGTTCACAGACAACGAGGCAGAAGCAGACATCCTCTACAACTTCTCACACTTCAAAGATTATAGGTTGCAGATCTTTCCCCTATAAGAGAAATTCTTTTCTTCCTTTTTTTCCCTCTATAAGCAATCTAGAAGGCCTTCCTGGCCTTTCCCCTCCTCACTTTAACAACTCCTTTGTTTTGCAGGAAGCTGAGCGAGGAAAGACCTGAAGTAATGGTGAATCAGTTCCCATGTGAGAACCTCTTGACTGTCAAAGACTGCCTGGCATCCATATCTAGACGAGCTGGAGGGCCAGATGGGCCGAGATGGTTGCCACGTACTTTTAACCTCCAAACAGAGCTGCCCCAGTTCATCTGTTACTTTCAGCAGCGTGAGAGAAGGTGGTTATTATTTCTCCTTCCTTACATCTTGTGCTTTTGATCCCGCTTTACTCAAAGATGAGTGTCTTGCATTTGGGGATTTGCAACTGGTTTGTCTGATGTTTAAATTTCTTTTAATTATCAAGGATTGAGCACAAATGCAATGTGTATATAAGGGAAAGGGAAGCAGGGGATAGTATGTTTCACAGAAATAAAACCATCTTAAGTTAACACTGCTAACTTCAGCTCAGTTTGAGCTGTTTATCATGAAGCCCAAGCAGTTTCTCAGATTGCTTTAATTTATTAACCGAGGAAAGAAGGACATAGTGTCACCCTGTCCTTACTCAGAAAAATGTATTGAATGGAGACCAGCATGTTACTTCTTTTCCTTGAGGATGTTTCAAGGAGTATTGCCCCCTTTAGGTGACTGGGCACTGGGAAGTGAGATGAGAATGGCATACTCTTGTTTTCTTGCAGTATGAATTGCTGAGATATGGTCTAATTTCTTCCCCAAGGAGGCAGTCATAGTGTAATGTGTTATGAATTATTTGAAGGTGTTAAGAGAATCACCTTAGAAACTGAGGTGATTCCCTGCCAGCACAACCTCAGACTCTTGGCAGAATGGTGTCTGTACTGTGACCTCTGTGTGTTTGTGGTGTTACTGTTCGTGTATTGTTCTTCTCTTTCAAAGAAGCAAGATGCACAGAAGGAAGTAAACAGTGAGAATATGCTAATCCCTAATAGAAAAAAGTGAAAGCTACCATTGCCTTTTCTCCCTTTTACACCATTGCCTAAAGCTGTCAGTCAGAAGTCCTTAGTTCTTGCACTGTAGTGCCCAGCTTTATAAAGTGATTAAGACAGATGAGTACGTAGATCAATTCAAGTGAATGTTCAGACAGATAAATGAAGCTTATAGGCTTTGGCTTTCTATCTCTCACAGAGGAGAAGACAATCACTGGATATGCAAACCGTGGAACCTGGCCAGAAGCCTGGACACCCACATCACCAACAGCCTTAACAATATCATCAGGCATAGGGAAAGCAGCCCAAAGGTTAGAGATCATGGCTTTGAGTGAGATTTTAAATGGATTTCTGAAAAAACTCTGTTACAGGAAGTGGTCTAAGACTAGAAGGAAGGCAACTTATTTTCTTCAAAATTTGTACATTGACCCATAAGCATTCAGCTTCAATGAATTCTGAGTTAATTATTCAAATCAACACCATTTGTTGTAGTGATGAAAGACCCAAAGAGGCTGATGTTTTTTTATTTAAAAAATAAATTTTGCCCTGACAGTGATGAATGGTTCAGTGCATTTCTGCTTTAAGGCAAATCCTCAGATAAGATGATACCTTAGGTATAGTTAGCATTGGTTGTGAATTTTTGTACACTGTTGTTTCTGTCCCCTCTTGATCACTGTTGTTGATCCACAGCTCAGCAGCACAAAACACTGCCAACAACAGAGAAATTATGGAGCTCTTTTTTCTGTAAAATGCAGTCATAATGTCAGACTGTCACCTAAACTTTATTTCTGCTGATATGTGGACTGCATGTATTTTTCTGGAATACAGAAGTGCACAAATTGCTTCAGTCTTATATTTCAAGAGCTTCCACTAAAATTGTAAATAAAAATATTTACATATACATTCTGGCTGCCCAGCTTTCCCAGGCAGGCTCCAAAGACTTTTATAAAACACCCATTGGCACATCTTCAGTTATTTATGCATGCTGCTTAAGTAAAACAGAATCATATACAAGGATGTCTTAAACCCCCACTATCTATTGACACTTTTCATCTCAGTCAAATAATATTTTCTGTGCGTTTCTTTGTTTGTTTCTATTAGGTAGTGTGCAAATATATTGAGAATCCAGTCTTATTTCAGCGAGAAGATGTGGGCATGGTTAAATTTGACATCCGTTACGTTGTGTTGCTGCGCTCCGTAAAACCACTCAAGCTGTACGTCTATGATGTGTTCTGGCTACGCTTTTCAAATCGGTAATTACCTTCGTTTTCCTTGTTAGACTGATGAGACTTAGCTTCCAAAGGATCACGTTTGGTTCTAAGGAATTGTTTTATTCCTTAGGGCGTTTTCCCTTGATGACTTGGATGACTATGAGAAGCATTTCACTGTCATGAATTATGCTCCTGGTGTAACGTTAAAGCAGGTAAGCAAACAGTCCAAAATATTCCCCTATCTTTGTGTTGTTAAAGAATCTTCCAGTGCCTTCTTTTGTGACTATTCCCCAATACTCTGTTTCATACCTAGCAAGCAGTCGCTGTTGGAAGTATCCGACCAAGTTTTTTTCCTAGACATTTTGCTGTCTGGACATCTAATAATTTGTGATAGATAATACAAACCTACATCCTGAATAAAACCCACATTAATTGAAATCACTAAG